AAAAAAAAAAAAAAAAATTCCAAAATCCAGGGGCACGTGACCCCCTGGTCACATGCTGCCTCCGCCACTAGTTACCATATTAATTTTTTTGTATTGCGTGTATAAATTGTCTATAGAGAGTTTCCAATTTTACTAAGGTTAAGTTTGGCATAACACAAAAAAATTAAAATCTCAAAAAGTCACTATCTTATTTAAGTTATATCATCTTATTTAAATCACATCACCTCTCTACCACCCAACTCATATTTCATAAAAAGTCAAAAAGTGCACTTATTTAGATCATCCCAAACAACCTTAGGGGTGTAAATTTGACCCAGTTTGATTCATGTCAGGTCTCGTGGGCTTTCACCAAAATTTAGGCAGGGTCAGGCTGGCTCATAGGTCAGAAAGTTAGGCCTAAGGGTATTTGGGTCTTGGGTGAACCGATGGGCTTGAGTCTGGGCTCGGGCTTGGACGGACCTGAACAATTTTTTTGTTTTTTTTTAATTTTTTCTATCAAAATTTTATTGATTTCCACTAAAAAATACACAGGGCCTCAGGCGGACCGAGTATTGAGTGAGCCTTAAGCTAGCCGATGGGTCGGGTCCACGGGCTTGACTGGACTTCAAAATGATGGCTCAAGCCTAGGCCCAAGGTCTCGGGATGGGCTCGGACCCTGGCCCAAAAGGGTTAGGCCCATCCCGATCCGTGAGCAGGCTTCGGGCCGTCCACGGACCACGGGCCATTTTTACACTTCTAAATCCCATATCTCTTCAATCAATCTAATAACGAGTTATTTGAAATGATTTAAATAATTATTTTTTTTAATTTTTTTTATGAAAAAATATGTAAAAAAATAAAGAGATAATATAATTTAAAAATAAAATATATATATATATATATATATATATTTATATAATGTATCCCAAACCAAAAGCTGAGTAGAAATGCTAATTGTGGCCGTCCTCAGGCTCAGATACACCTCTTCAACATGATCATGGGCATGCATCTGAAATAAATAAATAAATTTTCTTCAAACCCCCGCCTCAGTAGAACTGCTAGTTGTGGGCATCCTCAGGCTCAGGTACACCGCTTCAACATGATCATGGGCATGCATCTGAAATAAATAAATAAATTTTCTTCAAACCCCTAACTCACATTGGAAGTTTTTGGTATCTCATTTTTGGACGCCAAAAAATATATATACTATATATATTACTCTACGTTATGATTTTGTATAATGGTCTACTTTTTACATCCATATAATTTTTTGTAATTAAAAACAATCAAGAATAATATTATCTTGTTATATATGCGGTTGCATAAATATTTTTTATAAATTTTTTAAGAATATTTACATACAAGTTTTAATTTATAAATTTATACTCCATTAAGTCTTAATTAAGATTTTTTAAATCTTCAAATCCCATTAAATTTTTAATAGTCAAAATTTCCTTTTAAACTAAAAAAAAAAATTACGTGCCAAAAAGAAAAAAATCTAAAAAAATTGAAAAAATTAAATTATTTTTTTGTGCAAAATTAAAAATTTTGTGTCTATAAATGAGTATGATGATGGAACATTGATCTGCGGAAGAAAAAAAAAACTACAAAAATGAAAAAATTGAAATGTTCTCAGTTTTAAAATTGAAAAAAAAATTATTAATATTCTCAATTTTATTAGATAGTTGAATCACACCAATAATTGGAAAGGCAAAAACGTTTAATCTCGTGCTCTATTTTTTTCATCAGTTAGTAAAACAATTATTTAGAACATTACTTGCAAAATTAATAATGTTCTTAGTTTTAAAAAATTCAAAAAAAAATGGTAATATTTTCAGTTTTACTAAATAGAATTTATTGATTCAAAAACTTTTAAATAGGACATGAATTACTATAATATTTGTAAATAAAACTTTTAAATAGCCACTTTAGCCCTTCCCAAATAATCATTAACTCAATTTTTTATGATGATATATACCATTTTTTAGTGCTTTTATTCTCAATATTTGTTTAAATAATATAATACTAAAAAAGAATTGGCTAAAGTTCACAAATTGTGCAGGGGATTAGGAAAATAATTTTTGTAAGTATTTTTTAAGTATATACTTAGGTGTCGTTTGCTAATACTTACGTTTTCAGTTTTCTATTTATATTTACAAAAATTTTAAAAACTCAAATAAAAACTTTTTTGATAAAATTTTTGATTTATAAATCAGTGGTCTCAGTTTATAAATTTGGTCAAAAAATGAAAACACTAAAAATGTGTTTCCGTTTTGAGTTTTCAGTTTTTTTTTTTTTTTACCACCCAACACTAGCCACCACTTGCCACTATTTTCCACCACCGTCTTCCGCCACCACCACCCACCCCCCACCACCACCACCTGCCACCACCCTCCACCCTCCCCCCATCTGCTACCCATTCGCCACCACCACCCATCCCTCTAAAACGCCACCACCACCACCACCAGCGGCTCAGAATTGATGTAATCTTTTCATGAAATTGGATGTGTAATTTAAGATTTTTGTTTCAAAAAACAAAATGTATTTAATTGTTTTAGTTTTTATTTATTACAAAAATACAATGTGGGGTTTTACAAATTTTGATTTTTAAATAAGTGTCCTTTTTTATTTTTTATGAAATATGGATTGAATTTGAGTTGGGTTTGAAGTGACGTATTAAAAAAATGATGTAATTTAAATAAGATGGTCACCCGCCGCCGCCACCACCACCACCACCACCCACCACTCCTCCCCCCCCCCCTGCCACCACCATCCACCACCCCCCACCCACCACCACCAGCCACCTGTCACCCACCCACTACCACCACCCATCCGCCACCCACTTGCCACCACCACCCCCTCGCTACCACCTACCACCCGCCACCGTCACCCACCCACCGACCACTACCACCACCCACCACCCACCTGCCACCACCACCACCACCTACTCGTTACCACCCACCACCCGCCACCGTCACCCACCGTTACCCATCCATCACCACCACCCACCCGCCACCACTTTTCACTACCGTCTTCCGCCGCCACTTGCCACCACTTGCCACCACTTGCCATTTCTCACTCTTTTTTATATTTTTAAAATTTTTAAATATTTTGTCAATTACCAAACGCGTTTATAGTTTATGTTTTTCTAAAAATAAACAAAAAATAAACAAAAATCAATTTATAAAATTTATGTAAATATAAACTGAAAACGTAAACGTTACCAAACACACCCTTACTAAAAAAAATTATGTGTTTTTTTTTTCTCTTTCTTTTTATAGTTTGGCTACAAAAATTCTCTTACTAATTTCCAACAAGTTGTCTTTTGGTGATTATGTGTCCCAATTGACAACAGGGATGCATGTTACTATCCCCTAATTTCCATCAAGTTGTATTTTGGTGATTATTCCCCCCTCCCCAAAAATAAAATAAATAAATAAATAAATAAATAAATTTCACATAATGAACTCTTGTAATTAGAAGGGCACACGACCACAGTGATGTTCCCAACCCACCCAATAATTTCTCTTTCTAGATACCATGTGATTAAAAAAAAAGAGAGTATGTAATGACATTTTTGCCCCTTCAAAGCATCAACCAAGGTTTTCAAACCCGGACCGGACCAGACCGGCTGGTTGAACCGATCGAACTAAGAACCGGGCCTGATTCCAGTCCGGCCAACCCTGTAAACCCGGAGGAGGTTCAAAACCATTTGTAAATAAGAGAACCGGATGGCCCGCCAATTCAACCGGCAAACCTAGTGACCCGGACGGGTTATGAGGAACCGGCCGGGTTTGTTGAAGTTATATATAACACTAAAAAAATCCCAAATTCTAGGGCTACAACAGATTTTCTTCAGCCCATCTCTCTCTCAAAAGGGTGTTGCTTCGCTCGTTGGTTTTGGCCTAAAATCTCACTCTCTCTCTGCAGAATTCTAGTGGTAAACGGAAGTTACGGAGGACACAAATCCGGCGGTGAGGTGAGTACTTCAACCGACGACCTCTACTGCTACTTTGTTTCATTGGTAAGTATTCTCTTTCTCTCCCCCTTCTCTTCCTCTTCTGTTGTTATTCGCTTTTTCTCTTTTCCCGCTAATTTTTATTATTATTTTTTTAATTTTTATATCAGATCAGAGAGAGCCTATTTATTTTTTATTATTTTTTTTTTTTGGTGTGAGTGAGTAGAGCTTTCTCTTCTTCTTTGTTTGTTGCAAATTAAATTTTATTTTCTAGGTAATTAGTTTAGTTTTTTACAATGTGGGCATGATGAGGCCACCACTGTGGGCTCAATTGCAGATGGAAAAAAAAATTAATGAGAACAGAAATTCCATGTGTTTTAGGTGGAAAGCATGACTCTGGCAATCTCAATAATAGTGATAATAGTAATTGGTATTCTTAGATCTCCATAAATATTGATATCAACTTAACAACATAGTACAAACCAAAACAAAGGTCCCTGTTTATTAAACTCACACCTATATTTTTATTGCTTCTATTAAACATTGTTATTCTTGCTAGGCATCTATATTAATTTCAATAATTCTTGAATGTTGCATTTGGATTCGTGAATTTGAATTTAATTATGTAAGAACAGAAATTAGAACAGAAATTCACAATTGACCTTTATCATCGTAATTGTTACACTGTTTGGTTGCAGAGAAATGGAAAGATTAATATATATATATATATATATATAATCTTTCATATAATTATACAATTCCAAGTTTTTGTTTTTTGTTTTCATAGTTGTTAGATACATGATAACAAAATTCTGATTTCATGCTATTTTTTATAATAAATTTATGATTTCAAATATTACTAAATGTATTATATAGGGTTGTTTTAGGTGAAATGGATTCATCTGGCCATAATTCAACTGTACACTCTAATACCCCATCATCAACAAGAGGTAAATCTAATCCAGCATGGGACCAGGTAACTTAGGGACGAGCTCCCGATGGGAAGAAAACTTTAACATGTTTGTATTGTGGGAAAACTATCAAAGGTAAAGGGATTAATAGAATGAAACAACATCTTGCAGGAAAGTCTGGTGAGGTTGGGCCACGTAAGAAAGTTCCAGGTGATGTTCGGTATCGAATGGAAGAGGCTTTGAAAGCAATTATTGAGAAAAATAAACGAAGTGAGGAATCTAATCCCTTTGGTCGAGCTGTTTTCAAATTTGAGGATGATGCTGAAATTGAAGAAATAATTCCACAACACAATAAGGGCATCTTAATTAATGAAGGTGGTGGTAGTAGGCATAAAAGTAAGGCAACAATGACATAAAGAGGAAAAGGAAAGGATCCTGCAAAAATTGATAATTTTTTTGCACCAAGGACCACTCCAGGCTCTCAACCAACTATCAAAAGTGCCCTTGCAACTAAAGAAGCTGTACATAGGGCACATAGGATTGTGGCAAAATTTTTGTATGATACATGTGCTCCAATGAATGTTGTCAATTCCATATATTTTCAGCCTGTGTTTGATGTTGCAATCACCATTGGTCCAGGATATAAAGTTCCTACCTACTGTGAAGTTCAAGTTCCTCTATTGAATGACCCAAATAAAGAGCTTCAATTGTTTATTGACTCTGTAAAGAATACTTGGGCTAATACTAGGTGTACAATTGTGGGTGATGGTTGGATTGATGGTAGACATAGAACTCTCATTAATTTTCTTCTCTATTGCCCTAGAGGAATCACTTTTGTTAAATATGTCGATGCCTTTGATGTTGTAAAAGATGCTCATCTTCTTTTTAAATTGTTTAAAGAAATTATTGAGTGTGTGGGAGCAAGCAATATTGTGCACATGGTGACAGCTAATAGGGCAAATTATGTTGCTGCTAAAAGGCTTGTTAGTCAAACTTACAAGAATATTAATTGGTCTCCTTGTGCAGCACATTGTTTGAACTTAGTGTTAAGTGACATTTCCAAGTTGAATCATGTGAAAGAGCTTGCCTTCAGAGCATCAAGTGTGACAAGATTTATTTACAATCGCCTATGGTTGATAGCTTGGTTGAGGAAAAGGAAAGGATGGACTGAAATTGTGCACCCAGGAGTAACCTGTTTTGCCACTACTTTTATTGCATTGCATAGTATTCAAAAACATATACATGATTTGAAAGCCTTAGTGACAAGTAATGATTTTGTCTGTAACACCCCCAAAAATTTACAACACCATTAAAGTATACCAACCAACACTCATTATAAGAAAAGAAGTAATTCTCCAACCTTTACATTACAAGACCATGAGGGCCATACAAAATAATTCCACCTGCGAATATACATTCAATGGTTTCTAATACATGAATCTATAGCATGTAGAACCTTCAATCCAAAAATAAATAAATACCCTCATAGGCTTACAAATTCCAAGGCTTAAGCCCGGTTACACAAAAATGGTCTCTCAAACCCATACAATTATAGCCCTTGACTAACAAAATATACCACAAAAAAAATAAGAGCCTTGTGCTCTCAACATATACATCCACGCCGTAACTCGGCAGAATCACCACATATTTGCCTATACCAAAATCCCATAGGGTGAGCATAAAACCCAGTAAGAAATTCTTAACAAAGTATATACATTTTATACAAGCTTCACAAAATCAAATGCACATGCCATGCTATGCTTTTTGAAAGAAAATCACATTTACTTTTTTTGAAACCATCATGCCCAATGATAACTTGAAATCTCGACAATTCAAAATTTATCAATTTAGTTCAAGAGGGCGGTAAATACGACTCAGGTAATCCCTAGGTTGGTGTCTGTAAGTAGGCATAACTAGCACTACCAAAACCCCACTTTACCGGTTGCTAACCAGAAGGGAAGTGGTACCTCATCCGCGCATGTTTTCGATCTTTCAACCCAGACACTTAGGCCAACTTAATCAATTTCATCTACACCCCCTATTCGGACTTACCAACGTATTTACCCCAAAGCGATTCCATGAAAAATTTATTTACAAACTTTCTTTTCTCAATGTAAAAGTTTCCAAACTCAATTCAAAATGTGTAATAACCAATTAAATGGATATGCAATGCAACAATTATGAATGCCTCATAACATTTCCCCACTTTCAATTATCTCAAACAATAATTCCATAATAATCAAATTTTCATTTCTCCTTTCAACACTATCTCGCAAGATAACCACATTTTCATTTAAGTCCATCAATAAATAACCACATTCCATATTTCATGCAATCCCAACAATTTAGTCATTTCAAGACTATAGCAACATTTGAACAACGACTTCCAATATCAACAATTCTCATATTTTATGAAACTCATCATTTATATCTATAAATAAGAAATTTTTCCATCCTTTACTCATTTTGGTACACAAAATAATATATTGACAATGTCAACCATGTGTTCTCAACACCTTTTAAAAACCCCCAAATTTCTAGATTTTTCTCACCACAACAACACACACAACCAAATCATTTGAAAGAAACTCTCCAAAAGCATCTTTTTCCACTCAGTAAATTCAAGACTCTTAGGAAATTATCTCAAAGGAACAAGAGGTAAACCTACTTTCAAAATCACTCACATTCTTGAGTCAACAATCAAGTTTCAAAGCTACAAAAAGAAATTTCGAAAATCAACTAAATCTTGCAAAAACATATATATAACTCTAAGAAAATCCTTACCTCAAGTTTGGAGAAGAAATGAGATGAAAACCCTAAAATAAACGGTGTTGAAACCCGATCATCACCGCACACAACGAAGCCCTCGAGAAGTTATCCAATTTTGATAAAGAAACTTGGGTCAAAATGCAAATGGATTTGAAGAAATCAATGATCTTGTGAGGTTTTTGGTGAGAAATGTAGAGCGAATTGAGAGAAATGTGTTTTTAGAGAGAGAGATATAATGATAGAGTGACATGCACTTAGCCTAAGAAGAGGGAAAAGAAAGAATTTTCAGACTCAGCGGAGTCCTGCATGTGCGGCACCCATTCCCACACGTGCGGAGTGTGCCTCTCGCACGTATGGCACTCACCCCTGCACGTGCGACACCGCTACCGTGCACCTCCATTCGCACCTGCATTTATTGCAGTAGTGTACTTGACCATCCCCTACTTTTCGCACGTGCGGCCCCCCTCCCGCACGTGTGGCCCAGGCTCCCGCACATGCGGCTTTGCTCTCTAGCCAGGAAAATTTTTATCTCAACCCAAGACACACCAAACCCAACCTCGCACCTTCCGAAACACGTGGAACTCAGGATAGCAATAAATAAAAATGAAAATTTTAGAGAAGCTTTCAAAACAATAACCCAATGGTTAATCAAAACCTTGCACTAAAACCCGACACTATAACAATGGTAAACCCAAGGTTAAACAAAGAGGAATGAGATGAATAACATACTCGGTCATCACAACCTCTCCACCATAGGAAATTTCGTCCCCCGAAATTAGATCAAATTACCCAAACAACGGGGTTTTCAAGCGATCAAAACCACGCTATTACATTTTCAAATTACAATATTAATTCTCAACCCAAATTCATCATTATCGTCATGGCTAGCTCACTAACAATAACTATCCAAAATAAGCATATGCATGAAGTTTTCCAATAAAAGTAGTAACAACCCACAACAACCTCATACTTGAAACAACAACATACATAACAACATGTGGCTAACAATTCAATAAATTTCCCTCAAACACTAGGGATTATTACAAAGGAAAAACAATTTAAGCATTTTCAAACAAATCCAGATACTTGGAGCGGACTTCCGCCTCCCATTCCCACGTTGCTTCCTCAACCCCATGGTATCTCCACGACACCTTTACTAACGGTATAGTTTTTCCCCGTAGTACTTGCTCCCGGTCATCTAATATTTGAACTAGTCGCTCTTCGTAAAAGGCATCCTCATCTAACCGGTATGCCACTTCCTCAATTCTCTCCAATATCTCGAAAGGCCCAATGAACCTCAGAGACAATTTACCACTGTTACCAAATCTCATCAAACCCCGCCTTGATGAGATTTTAAGGAACACATGGTCACCAATTTCGAAAGATAAAGGTCGTCTCCTCTTATCAGCATAACTCTTTTGTCAGCTTTGGGCCGTAGCTAGCCTGCTCCGAATGAGAGCAACTTTCTCGGTTGTCTCTCTAACAATTTTTGGACCCAACAACGGTGTATCATCCACCTTGGCCCAACAAACCAGTGATCTACAAGGTCGGCCATACAAGGCCTCAAATGGTGTCATCTCAATGCTAGCTTGATAACTATTGTTATAGGTGAACTCAATCAATGGTATGTGCCTCTCCCAAGACCCCTTGAAATCAAGGACGCAAGCTTTAAGCATGTCCTCCAAAATTTGAATGGTACGCTCCGACTGCCCATCGATTTGAGGGTGGTAAGAGATGCTAAAGGCCAACCTAGTTCCCAACGTCTTTTGAAGGCTTTGCCACAACTAGGCAATAAAACGAGGATCTCTATCCGACACATTGGTTACAGGGACTCCATGAAATCGAACTAGCTCTCTAATGTACAACTCTGCCAAATGCTCAACTGAGATGCCGGTGCGCATCGGAATGAAATGCGTAGACTTAGTAAACCTATCAACAATCACCCAAACGACGTCATTGCCACGCTGTGTTCTAGGAATCCTAACTACAAAATCCATGGTAACATGTTCTCATTTCAATTCAACTATCAGTAAGGGTTATAGCAAACCCGCTGATCTTTAGTGTTTGGCCTTCACTTGTTGACAAGTAAGGCACTTCGATACAAATGAAGCGACATCTCACTTCATACCCCTCCACCAAAACTGGCGACTAAGATCATGATACATTTTGGTGCCTTTTGGATGTACCGCAAGGCATGAATGATAAAACTCCCGAAGTACATCATCTCTACAAGGTTTTGGTACAAACAAACGGTCTAAATAACGTACACTCAGATCTGAGTGAATGTTCAAACCCTTCTCTTCCTTCCTATTGAAAATTCTATCACGGATTGACTCTACTTCACGGTCTCCTTGTTGTGCATCTATGACCTTACTAATCAAGGTAGGTTGAGCACTCAAAGTAAACAAAGTTGCACTCTCACCGGACTCACCCAAGTACAAATCAAACTAGCCGAGATCACCTAGCATAACCCCTTCCCGAATGGCCATACTTTCCAAACTATTCATGGATTTCTAACTCAAAACATCTGCCATCATATTCGCCTTCCCCGGATGATAGTGTAACTCAAAGTCATAATTCTCCATAAATTCCATCCACCTCCGTTGACGTAAATTCAAGTCTTTTTGAGAAAACAAATATTTTAGACTCTTATGATCGGAGAAGCCTTCAAACTTTTCACCATACAAGTAATGTCTCCAAATTTTAAAGGCAAAAATTACCGCCGCTAATTCCAAATCATGGGTGGGGTAGTTTTTCTCATGAGTTTTCAATTGTTGTGAACCATAGGCCACAACCTTTTCCCCTTGCATCAAGACACAACCAAGCCCATCCCGAGACGCATCACAATAAACAGTGTAACCCAAACCTCTTTCCGAAATTATCAAGACCGGTGCGGTAGTCAATCTAGTCTTAAGTTCTTGGAATGACTTTTCACAAGCTTCATTCCATACAAATTTGACACTCTTCCTAGTTAACCTAGTCAAAGGTGCGGCTAGTCTAGAGAAGTCCCTTACAAAACGTCAATAATACCCCGCTAATCCCAAGAAACTCCGGATCTCAAAAATATTTTTAGGTTGTCCCCAATCTTGCACAACATCTATCTTCGAGAAGTCTATAGTCACCCCCTCTCTCGACACTACATGCCCCAAAAACTTAACCTCGGTTAGCCAAAACTCACATTTCTCAAATTTGGCATATAATCGGTGCTCCCTAAGCAAGTCAAGCACTACCCGCAAGTGAGCTGTAGACACCCCATTTTTGACCGATCTTAAGACTTAGACGTCACCGATTGAGCGCTTGGTGATGTTGCATATCGTGCTCGTTCAGAAGTTTCAGAGTCTCGGCTGCGAGCCTTGCCTCCGGACTTCTGGACTCTTTCATGCTTTGCCTCGGTTTGCGAACCAGGCTCGATTTTCTTTGTTTTCTCTTCGTGAAGGGAGGGAGAGGTCTCGTAGATCATCTCTCAGTGGCCGTAGGCTACGTTTCGTGGTCGTAGGCCATTTTTGCCCGTTTGGAGTCCGGTTTTCGATTTTTCAGAATCGTT